ACCCCTCAAAGACAGAGACCACCATATGCAGTGTGTATGAGCCCACTTGCACAGGTTCTGGGGAGCATTAAACACTCCCTTGTCCCTGCCCAGGAGGGGCAGCCCTTGTGTGGGCTCACATGCCATGACCCCCGTGTCTCCACACTTGCTCCCAGAAAGCAATTCACTGAGAGGAGGGAGACAGGGACTGTGTTTTCCCTGCTGGCCAGGTCTCCTTTGCAGCTGTAACCATAGCAAGGAACACAGTTACTGAGGCTGCTCCATCCAACGTTTAGGTTGAATCACTCCTGTCAGCACTGTACCGTATTTCCTTCGGATTTCGTCATGCCGTGATTTCATCTCTGCTCTCCTGCAAGAAGGAAACAGCAAAGTCACACGTCAGTGATACAAAACCAAACGAGGAGCCACAGCTCCTTTCTTATTCCCAACCAAGGGAGCTCCAGGCTGCCAGGTTTGCTCAGCCTCTCATCTCCCACCTCCTGTAGGCACTGGGGACCACCACAGCCCACGCACGTCAGCAGCCCTGGGGGACTCCCACACAACACAGCCGTGATGCTGCATGCACAAGTCACCCCAGAAGGATGCTGTTCATGAGGGCTGTGCTTGAGCTAGGGCTGAAGCAGCCCCTGACGACATGTTGAGCCCCACGTGCCTCCTGGCCTCACTGGCACAGACAGGCCCCAAACTCTCTGCAGCCTGTGGGACATCCTCACCTCTCCTCCTGCCGCATGCGCCTCTTCTCCCGCTCCCTGGCAGCTCTCTCCTCATCCTTGTCTGGCCTGACAGACAGAAGAGCCTGTTAGCAGCGCTCAGCACTCAGTCCTGCAGCAGCACATTGCTGCTCCTGAGCTGCTCCCAGCAAATAGGGCCCCCTGGTACTTGCTTTTTGCTCTTTTTCTTACAACAGCAGCAGCAGCAGCAGACGCCCAAGGTGATAAGGAGTGTTCCCCCCACCACGGACATCGCAATGATCAGGGCTTCAAAGTTCACTAAAGGGTTGGACAAAACATGCTTAGCACACACAGACACAGCTGCCTGGAGTTATGATACAGAATCACAGGACCACATGCTCATTAAGGTTGGAAAAGCCCTCTAAGATAGTCAAGTCCAACTGTTCCCACAGCACTGTCAGGTCCTCCACTAAACTATGTCCCCAAGTGCCACAGCTGCACATTTTTTGAAGGTTTCCAGGGATGGTGACTCCAGCACTGCCCTGGGCAGCCTGTGCCAATGCCTGGCCACCTTTTCAGTGAAGAAATGTTTTCCTAATATCCAATTCAAACCTCCCCTGCTGCAACTTGAGGCCACTTCCTCTTTTCCTATTTATGAGTATGCAGCTACTGACACCAGCAGCTTCAGCCACTGGACTGGAGATGTGTGTAACTGTCTGGGAGAGCAAATGGACACCATCAGCTGTAGATATACCAAGTGTTGGCACCTTCACGTACACAGTGACCGAGTACAAGTAGCTGCTAACTGCATGGCTCAGTTACTGGCCATGAGGAAAGCAAGGACAAATGTACTCAGGTCAAACTCCTCCAGCAGAAGCAGGAGCAAAGCTGTCTTAATCACTAATCCAGGTGAACAGTAACCCATCAAGGGAAAACAAACCAACAACAGGAGGATTCAGGGTGAGGAGCAGCCTCTGACACAGAGGAGTTACTGCCCACAGAAGGCAGTTTCAGGGGTCACCCCTGGTGGGATGAGCACTAACTGGTGTCTGGAGTCCTTAGGCGAGAGGCACACTGAGACAAGATCTGCTGGGATTTATCAGCTTGGGGCCAGCAGTGCTGCTGAAGCAGTGAAGGCTGAGGGCTGTTTGCTGCACAGCACTGCCATGTGTCCCCAGGGCTGGGGGATCTGCTTGCCCACACACAGCACAAAACCCGCTGGGACGTGCTGGTGGAGCAGCAGCCTGAGCCCTGGTCCCTGCTCATTCTGCTCAGCTCCTGCAGTAATGGCAGCTGAGACACCAGCCAAAACAGACACATCTAGCTGCCAAGGATTTCAGGTGACAACAAAGAGGAGTTTCTTCCAAGTATGACCCAGACTGTTCAGAGATTCGAGCCTGTGGAAATATTTGTTTAGGAGCCACTTCACACACAGCAGTCAGGTTACAGAAGTGCCAGGGCACCTGAGCCTGCTCAGAGCACTTCTGATCCCTTCTCTGTGCCATCCTGTCACCCCTTGGGAAGCCTGAGCCCTGCACGTGAGGCATTTCACAGCAGCTCAGAAGATGCCTGCCTGTGCCCTCACTGCCAGGACCCAGCAGTACCAGGCTGACTGGGGTGAATCAGAACAGTCTGAGTTGGAAGAGACCTTTAAAGGCCACCTAGTCCAACCCCCTGCCATGGGCAAGGACATCTTACCCTAGACCAGGCTGCTCCAAGCCCTGTCCAACTTGGCCTTGAATGTTTTCAGGGGGGAGATATCTACCACCTGTCTGGGCAACCTATGCCTCACCACCCTCATTGTGAAAAACTTATTCCTTGTGTCTGCTCTAAAAAGAGCCTCTTTTAGGTGTTCCAGGCTGAGCTGACTCCACCACCAAACTTCTTTCAAAGCCTCCAGCAGCCCCAATCCTCTGAACCCTTGGCTTTCAGGGTGAGCCTGGGGTTCAAGTCCCCCTTTCCCACACAGAGAGGTCCGTGGCAGAGCACCAGGCACTCCTCCAGCTGATGATAAAGGCTAAATCACACACACCAAAAATGCAGACTCATGTAAGAGCTAAGCTCTCACAGGACTAATCTCCTCTAAAGCAAGTTTTGCAAGTTAAGGAATGTGTTCTATAATGAAACCTTTTGTCAAGCTACTCACATCAAAACTGTATTTCAAGGTCTTACAGAAGTTTCAGAAAAGCATACCACAGGGCTCACAAAGAGGAGATTCTTCCTCCACAGGCATGGCAGCAGTTTGAACTCTCACGGGCAGGGAGCCCAGCCTCAAGCACAGCAGATGACAGGTGACCACAATCCAACTCCAAGCTCTCATCAAGGGGATGGGTGGGAGAGGCTGAGCCCCAGCTTGTCTCCTTCCTACCTCAGCCCTCAAAAGCTGGGTCCTGTCTGAGCATGAGCATGCACCAAGCTTGGGCTAAACAAAACACCAATTTCTCCAGAAATCCTCCAGGAAACAGAGCACCAAGAAGGAGAGGCAGCTGACAGTCAGCTCTCCGCCAGGAAAAGCTCCCAGAGGGGACCTGCACATGCAGGGGGAGCTTTGGAAGAAAGTGTTTTCTCAGGTGGGTAAGAGCTGAGCAGGACCACAGCACACTCAGAGCTAGAAACACACACAGGCCCTCAGAGAAGTCACCTTGCCTCTAGTTCCAGGAGACCCCCTGAAGCTTAGGAGCCCACCCAGGACAGCAGCCACACAGTGAGGAGTGAAGAGCAGGAGCAGTGCATGGAGTGATGTGTGGGGTGAGGAGGAGAGAGCTGCTGGGATTCAGTAGGGAAGGCCTCTATGGGTACCTGCCCATAGAGCACCTTCCCCCCCCGTTCCCAGGTGCTCCACCACACCAAAGCACAAGGGATGTATTTGGAGTAGCTACATCCCCATGGGTCCCACTCACCAAAAGGCAGGAACTGCTCACACTCTGCTTCCCCACCCACACTTCAGGAAGTTTGCAGAACCCTGACTGACTTCAGCCTGTCATTGCTACACTGACAGCAAGAAGGGGAAGCAGGGGAACCTCCCACGAGCAGCAAGTGCTCCCACAGCCACTAGCAGCCACTCACCCCAGCAGACTCCCCAGCGCGCAGAGCTGAGCTCGCACAGGTCGGCGGGCGGCAGGATCCTTCGCACCGGGTACGCCATGCACCTCCTGCTGCTGGCACACCACAGGCACTGGGACACAGGAACAGGGCAGCAGTGTTGCTGGTGCACAGCCAGGCTGCCAGGCACAGCACAGGGCCAGTGCTGCCAGGCACCGAGAGCCAGGCATCACCTGGCAGCAATGGGATGCTCGGCAGCAAGAGTTGTGACAGCACAGGCTGCACCAGGAGATGCAGGCAAGGACAGTGCAGAGTTCTAGAGCGAGTGAAGATGCTGAGAACTCTCCTGGCTTGAAATCATAGACTACCCGGGGCTGGAAAGGACCCACAAGGATCACTGAGTCCAGCTCCTGGTCCTGCACAGTGCCACTCCAAGAATCCCACCATGACTCACATGATGAGAGTGATAACCAAATCTTCCATGGATTTTTTGGGACAAAAATAAAGTCTTTGAGAAAAGGCACACCAGAGACCGTGGGTGAGCAGGAGAGGAGTGGGTGTGCTCAGTCACACTACCTGCAGGGCTTTGCACCCTCCACTCCCAGTGGCTCCAACTCCCGAGTCCAGTGTACAGTTGGGTTTGGTCAAACTGGTTCTGGCTACATCAGCTGTGAGATCTGACTCAAGTTGGAGTTTGCTGATATCAGAGATAAGGCAGTGGAGGTTGTCAGGACACAGGTACACATCCTGAATCCACCCAGTGCCAGGGCACCCACCAGGGTGGAGGGACAGCTTCACCAGCCAGTCCAGCCCACTCAGCCCCTTCTCCCTGTGCATCCCCCACCCACAATGAGGAACTCAGCAATTCCTTCACTCCACTCAAAAATCACATTAAAAAACCAAGCAGTTTCCAGCAACGTCTTCCCAGCACGCCAAGGAGGGACTGCCCTCTCACCATCATGGGTGGGTGGCATTTGCAGCATGCCTGGGACAAGGCCAGGGGAGCAGTGTCCCTTCCAGGAGGGAAACTGCTCCCTAACAGCCCTGCAAAGCCCATGCTACACTTTGAGACGTCCTGAGAGGTTGAGAATTTTGCTGCAGTTACTCACAGTGACATTTTTCAGGCACTCCTCACAGCTCCTGTTTGTATACTGGTGACAATCTACAGGAAGGAAAAAAAGACACTTGAGGACTTTGAAGAACTTCAGTAGTTTAAAACTCCAGGCTCCTCTGAGCCTGCTCCTGCCCACTGCTTCCCCCAGCACCAGCCCAGCAGCAATGCATGGTGCTGCTGCAGGAGCTGACACCTTCAGCACGCACTCAGTGCCACAATGGGAGGCCCAAATGCAAACAGAAGTTTATCTGCCTTGCCCTGCTGACCCCAAGCCCTGAGCTGCAAGTTCCTCTCCTGGAGCCTGAGCATCTGCTGTGGCAGCAGGGGGACGCAGCTGGGGTCAGTCTGGAAGGACTCTGCGAGGATGAGGACAAGCACTGGGCACGCAGTGCAGTCCTGTATCACCAGATGATGGAGCAGCTGGAGCAAACAAGCCCCAGACAAGGAAGTTACTACCAGGAAAAGCAGAGGAGCACAAGGAGGGACACACAGCTACAGTCCCTGCAGGAGCCCATACTCTCCTGCTGCTCATGAAGGCCATACCCTGTC